AGTCTAAATAAGTATTAGGAAGCAATTGAATGTTTCGATAAAGCTATTTCCATAAATCCTAAATTTGATAGTGCATGGAATAATAAGGGTAACTAATGTTACACATTATTATTGTTTAGGCTCTGCATTAGATTCTTTAAATCAGTATTAGGAAGCACTTGAATGTTTCGATAAAGCTATTTCCATAAATCCTAAATTTGATAGTGCATGGAATAATAAGGGTAACTAACGTGACACATTATTATTGTTTAGGCTTTGCATTAAATAGTCTAAATAAGTATTAGGAAGCACTTGAATGTTACAACAAAGCTATTTCCATAAATCCTAAATTTGATAGTGCATGGAATAGTAAAGGTAAATCATTCCATAATTCAGGTTTGACATTACATAAATTAAAAAAATATGAGGATGCTATTAAATGCTATGATCAAGCTCTGTCTATTTGCATTAATCCTCTTCGACTATAAAGAAAAGGTCTTTTTTTAATTTAATTCTCTATAGCTGATTCACTATTTGAGTTACAGTTCAAATAAGAAGCTAAACAATGTTATTTGGATACTTTACGCCAAGGATCAAATAACTAGGATTACATAAACAGATAACTTGCAAAATTGTGAAAAACATTCCTAATAATATTAAATTTAGAATTGTGTACATGCAATGATTTTCCAACATTGTTCAATCTTGCAAATTTATTTATTTAATTTCAATGTTCTATTTACAAAATAACCACTCCAATAATATTATGGCAATTTAATCAAATTCTACACAACTTATTGATTAATGCAATTACACATATATCACAGTATGAATATAAACACTAATAACATACATGAAATTTAATTTTATTCGATTGACACTTTGAATATAAAATATCTCCATACTGAACCTTAAATACTCTTCAACCAATTCCCAGCCATGCCTAAATCATTCCTAATATTATATTATCATATTATTCATCTTACATAATAATATGATCAATAAATTAATGTATTTACTTCTTAAAGAATGATCTAAAATTTTAATTGACAATCAAATAATCCAAATAATAGAATCTAATTAATGGTGCAGATCAACTATCCCTAATATGCTAATTAAATTCTAATATAGTATTCAAGTAATCTTTTATTAGATTTTCGAACTGTCTAAAGAAAGGCAATTACCTTGGATAAATCCTTCACATAACAGTCATAAAAAAAACCGTATATAATCTGAGTCGAGTAGAAAGACAGTGTCCAGAAATAACAATAACATTTTGATTGAATATAAGACTCAAATATATTATAAATGAGATTAATAAATAGGAATTAGTTAATCAAATCCAAAGTAAAAATCTTGCTTTATATGATATTATCAAGAAGCATTATTTACTTGCTCCTATAATGATATCTAGAAATAAATGATTAATTTTATATAAATCATAGGCTTCATATAATGATACATTATCCTTGATCACTTACTATTGTTCGCTCTTTATGTTCCATATCCAAAATATCTGCAGGTTGCAATAAAATTTCTGAGAACAATTTCGTACATGGCTACGATACTAATTATCATTTGACCAATAACCTCTCATTCATCATGACTTTACTAATCATTGTAAAAAAGTAAATTTGATGGAGCGCTCCTCAGCTATTTACACATCAAGCATATGTTCGCTTTGTATGACTCCTCTCCTGTAGTGTACTTCAACCACTTGTCACATGCGGTAACTATAAATTGATATTTTTCTAGTTGTGTTATTCATTAGATTATGGTTTCAACCAAATATCATTTAGACTTATTCATTCGGTTACACAATATAAAGTCCTAACCACCAATTCTCTTAATTTGCTTTATGGTTTAATGGAACGAATAAGAGTGTTTAGATTTGAGTTAAATGAGATAGAAAATTAGTTTTCCACATTCCCAAAGTTATTTTGTTGTTTTTTTACTAATTTAACTGTGCTTCCCTCCAATGTGATACAGTTCATGTAAATTGAAAATGCCCTTTTCGCTAGCATGTTGAGGCAGATTACATAAATAGTTGTACAACAACACTGAATACAATTCTTGTAAATCTTAGTAGGCAGGTAATATTGCTCTCTTATAAATTACTTCTTGAGATATTCTCTCTTTATAATAATGGTTTTTTCAGCTGATGAGATATATGATTGAACTATATAAAGATCCTTGTCATCTAAAATGTCCGAATGTAATACACTTTCTATACGAGGCAATATTAAAGAATTAATTTTGTATACTTACTGTAAGCGATATTATTAGTAAGCCTGATAATACAAATAGTAAATGGATTAATGCTGCTTTTTATCAAATGCTATCAGCGCATTGATACCAGTAATGTTATCATTAATTTTTATTTTAACCTTAATAGATAGTTAGAATCAATTCACTTTTTGTTTATTTAAATTAAAAATGAAAAATTCATATCTGAAGATTTTATTCTATAATTTTTTCTTTAATAATTAAGAAATTGTAAATTAATTAATTCCCTTAAGATGAAATTCATTTTTATAGAGCTTGTTACTAAAACACGCCATCACGCTTAATGCTAGGTATGAAAATTTTCCACAAATTATTTCAAGAACAAAACAAAGGCAAGGCTTTACAGGACAACAATTTATTTAACCTGTCAAAGTGTAACATTGATCCTAATCAAGAGGCCTCAAGTCTTGATGAATAATTTTTACTATATATAGAATTAAAATTTGCTTTGTATCTTCCATTAACTCGAATGTAAATGAGAACTACTAGTGTTTCCTTTCTTTATATATTATATCAAAGAGCTTGAAAAAATGGTGCTGTAAGCTACTGTCTAAGTAAAACCATTCATCAATGTTAATATTTCTAATAGAAGCTTTATGTATCAGTTTGAGAAGCATGTTGGAGGACGTCTCTTATTTATTCTTTGTGAAAGTTTATGGTATGATGAGATTAAGGCAGTGTTGGTGAAATCCTATAAAAAACAAGATTTTGTGTGCTACTTATGATAGTGGAAAGTAATTTAATTATTTTTCTCTTGTGCTTACGCTTGATTGCTACAATATATTGTAGTTGGCTTAATGCTTCTCACAGGATATGCAAAATATATACAAGGAGTTATATCAATATAATCCGCTTTGTTTTATATTCTTATTTCTATACAAGAATTTGAGTTACTAGAGGCCTTCTTATTGAATATAACATAAACATTATCCTTTGTGCGTATATTATAATAAAAAACCAACAGCATCTTTTCAACATCTAAAGCAAGTGACATTATAAAACGCTTAAAAAGTATTAAGACACGTAATATATATTTGTCACTCCATAATTTGTTACTACTCATAAGTCAAGTATATAATTACATTAAACAAATATCGAAGGTGGCTTATTTGTTTAAAAGTAATAACAAATAACTGCTATATGCAGTATATGTTAGAGCATAGCGAGCTGGTTATTTATTCTCCTCAAAACGTAATTGAAGAAGCACAAGCAACAGCTGCTATGGTCAAAATCGTAGCTCAAAGACATTAATAATTTTTGGACGCTCAGTTGGCAAGCAACCTCGACGTGTATTTATTCAATATTGCACAGAAGATGCCAGAAAAGTACTACATGTAGTCAAGGTGACTAAGATGCTCAGAAATCTAACCAAATAAGATAGCACAAACAGTGCAGACACTATTAAATGAATCCTAGTAGTTATGTTTTCAAAAAATCTCAGACACAATAAATTAATCAAGTCCAACAGAATGATTTAAACATATTTCAATTCAGCCAACAATAAGCAATAATCACTAAATTATTTTTCACAGCAGGCCATATGTTAACATCTAAATAGACATGAAGCACATTAGGTGCTAAAAATGATAGTTATAGGCTAAATAAGATTTAACAATATAATAAGTAAATAATAAGAGTATATTTGGTCAATTTATTAAATCTACGAAAAAGAAACAGCATTCCTCCTTAATATATTGCAAACAGGATGGATTGCAATTCATTGAACAGCCATCTGATAAAAAAAAATTGATTGCATTTCCAATCCTTATTTTATAAAAATATCTATATGCTTTACCTCAACCATTTTTTAGGGTGCATGCTTTCCAAATGAGTATAAATTAAGCGCATGCATCACTTTGCTTTTCAGACCGATTATAAAATTGGAAAAAAATAAACTTAACATAATGAATGTATTGAGTATAATTTGAATATATTTCAGGAAGTAGTTAATGTTGAATGTTTAGCTAAACTTATATGAGTGGTCATTAAACCAGAAACAGCAATACCATTACTAAACCCATTTAAGTTGCTGAAGACTCTCATGAAATACTCATAATCTTATAGTTTGATTAATACCCTGAAAGATTTTAATAATTAGCTTGATGTTATTGAATATTGTAAAAAGTATCGCGCAAGTGTTGCACATTATATCTGCTTTACCACATGCAATTAAAGAAGAAAGATCATAGGTATTGAAGATTCTTCATTCAATAAGATTCTCAAACTTCAAAAGTTCCTTTAGTATTGTTAAGGTTAAGCTACCAGTTAAATGAGTTTGATTAAACTGGATATCAAATAATGCCATTTAATATAAACAACGTTTCACTACACATTATTAGGTGCCACTAATATTATGATGCAGTCTTACTCTGCTATCTTTCAACAATGGATGCGGTGAGATATTAAAATTTTTTGGATACTAAGAAACAGCTGTTAAAGATCAATAGAATTTTACTTGCAATTTTATTTTATTTGGTCTATAAACATTATAAGGCAAAATGTAGTATTTACAAGATTAAAACCTCATATACTTTCAGAACATCAATTTCTACTTCAAACAACTCAGGTAATTAATGTGGAGGCATTATTAAAAGAAGGACATATATTATTATCTCGGACATGGACATGATAAAAGCCTCCTGATTTCTTATTAGTAAACACTATGATAAATTTGATAATTATTATTACTCTTAGATTGTTTGCAAATCATCAGCAGTTATGATGGCAAGTTGATAAAGAGTCTCCAAGTTATTATTGCATAAAGGATATTAAAAAGTTCTCTTTTTTTGTAGAGTTTAAAGTATTACAGAAGTCATCATAAATCATCTCTCTAGTTTTTAAAGCTTTAAATACAATTAGCTTTACTCTCTATGCAATTTATCATAGCAACCATATATAGAGTGACCTAATTTTCAAACTGAGTGGCATTTCTGCACAATAAAACAAAAGGACAAATATTAAATGTCCTATGATATAACTTACTTGCATTATTTGATTCAGTACATTCAGAATCCAGTTGTACATTAGATTAGCAAGTTTGCCCAGCTATAATGTTAATTTCAATCAATAAGAGCAATGATTACCTAAAATTGCTCTAAGAAGCACAAATCTTAAATTCTCCTATCAAGAGTAATCCAACTCTACAATAACGACCAGTATGCATTACTGGCTGAAGTTTCCTATATGAGCACTATTACCTGAGTGAGCAGAGAAAGTAGAATTCACACTATTTCATTTGAGAAGTAAGTATAGTTTTTGCTCCAAAGTCAAAAGTAGTGATTTACTATATTGATCTCTTATATTTGATATTTTGCCCACACTTAGACGCAATATTGAAAGGATAAAGTCTCAACAACTTGAGCATAATTTATAAAGTTAAGAATGGGTTTGAATAAATATGGCCTGATTTACTAGCAAATAACAACAGAAACTCTTATAAATGCTTGCATATAATGTCCAAATTATGTACAAGGGTAACAAGAATTTAAGTTAAAAGAAATTAGAGTAGATACTACATCATTTAATCAAGTTGAACTAGAATTGTACTACATATGAACCAACAGTTTGTTAAATGACGCATAATTTATAACTGAGATAATCTCCGTTAGTTTCTTATGAAATGAATCATGCTTCTTACTATCATTACCGCGGAGTAGGTGCAGCAGTTTTGTCTTGCATTCATCTCAAATCCACTAGTGTCCATGATTTTGCAAATCCCTATGTTAGTTCAAACAAGCAAGACTATAAGATGCGAGGTCTATTCATTGATGTAATAATCCGAATTAAGGATGAATACAATTATAGATGTTATGCAGCAATTCAGTAATCAAGTTTAAAATAATTGACATCAGATATGAATTTACAATTAAATTTAATATTTATCACATGTCTTTCAAAAGAGAGCTGATGTACCTGGAAATTGAAAATGCTTTATCAAGAATCTCGCACACTACAGGTAGTTATAAATAAATAGTGATGGCATCAAATAGAGACAAAGAGCTTATTGGTAGCCTGTAATGTAAGAATTTAGAAAATACAAATAACTAGTACTTTATCTTCAAGTCTTATAAAGCAGAAATATGAACTACTGAAATGGAATGAATCTTCATAGAAGGTTTGAAATGAAATGATGCATGTTGAATTACATTAAGACATCTTGATCTGCAGTAATAAAACATGAGTCAATATTTTAACATCAGCATCTATTACGCGCAATATCAAATCCAAATAATCACAACCAGAATTAAGGAAATTTGGTATATTTTTTAAATTTGGATATTTTTGGTGATAATATCCTAAGAGGTTACTCTAGAGCATTTGCCAAATTAATATTCTATTAGGCGTCCTGTTATATATAAATAGTCAACACTTAAGGTTGAAAATAAACATTATCTAATATTGAAAACAAAATAGTAGGATTTAGAGAAAAATTGAAAACTTAAAGGAAATTTTCTAAATTCAAAAAGGTAAAGGCCAACGATAGGTAAGACATAAGAAATTAATTCTAAATACTCTTGTGCTTGAGAATCGAAGAAAAAGTTGTGAGGCTTGGAAATTATCTTGTTGTTACCTTCAAAGATTATAATTTAGTTTTGACCAGATGGACAAATGCCAGCCTAAGTTACAAGGGGATTTAAGTGGGATAGAAGTGGGAAAATTACCCCGTGTTAGGTTAATGATTATTAATCTTGACCAACCTTAATTTTCTCATCCTATTTAGATATTAAAAGTCTTATACTTTTCAGATATAGCTACCTTTTTTGGTATCCTTCAGAGGAGTTGAATTAGATTTTTGGATAATATGAACAACCTATATTTGAACCTGTTTTGATAGATGGCTTATAGTTTATAGGTTTGGAGAAAAATAAATTTGACTTTTAATGTTTCATACTTAATCAATACTAATCACTCTATATTTTAATATGAGCTTAAACATTATTACCCTCTTATCAACTCGGAATTTCAAAAGAAAAAAGAATTGTTCATTTCAATTACAAAATACAACCTTATCCCACCTATTGAATTTTCATTACTTCCCACTTTGAATGCAAAACTCCAAATGTACAACCTTAACTTGACTCTATTCTATCTATAATGGTTTGGTAAATGGGTCTTTGCACTAACAAGAACTACTCATAGGAAAGAAAATAAAAATTTTAAGTCAATAACAAAAAATTGATTTACCAACTTTAAAAAAAACATCAACATAATTCTTTCCTCAAGAATCATAAGCTTTAATCAATAGCTTTAACAATACCTCCATTTAAAGTTGAATTAAACATGAATTAATTATTAACTTCTAATTATTTTATTCATATATCAAGAGGATATTTAATTATTTTTAAATCTAATTTTTATGTTAATATTATATTATTTCAAATGAAGAGATTATTTAACAAAAATATGTTTTCGAGATGGTGATGTTTATTTATTATATTTAATATTTTGGTTTTGATCTATTTCAATCATTATAAACTATAGGGTATCAAAATCATTCTTTAAACAATACCAATTTTCTTTTTGATTCTATTAACTTAAGGAGTATAATAAAATTCCTATTATTCTTTTCCATCATCATTTATTCCACTAATACAGCTTAGTCCTTTCTATTATACTCTCTTGTTACTAGAAGTAAGTATAGTGCTCGAAAATTAAATAAAAAAAATCAGAATTTTAATATGAGGAAATTAATGCTGCTGGAATTACAAGATCTTAGATATTTGAATTACACATCTTTGAATCGTTTATGAAATAATCAAGATGTAAGAAAGAGTACCAAAATGAAAAACTGTTATGCTCTAGTTTCTTGCATCAATTTAAAAATATCAAACCAATGATAATTTGGTAAACATAAAGCCATATAAGTGGGTTCATAAGAACTGATTACTTCTTGATACTGAATTACTGAGCAATTATTATTAGGCAGGAAGTTTTTAGCTTTTCAGAATTTTAGTATGAAAATGACTATGATTCATTAAGATATCCTAATATCTAAATAATTGATATTCTGTAATTTTTCTGCTATTCTAATTTCTTTGTTTATCCTTAGGCTTATTTCTTTTAGGTGCACTTGTTTACTTTCTTATTGCAATAATATACAAAACATGAGTATGAATTTTATTATTCTTAAGGATAGTTCCTTTGATTTACTTAAAATTTACTAAGTTGTTTTACCTTGTCCTGGTTTTTGTAAATTAATCTGTTCAAGTTGTTTTTCATTTAATTAACATAGAAATCGCACTTACCTGATTTAGAAAAAATTAAGTGATAACAAATTCTTATCATAAAAAAAATGATAATTTCCTATAAAAAAAAATTGGTTTTCAAAAGTTAAACGAAGTGGTTTATAGTAGCATTTTAACTATAATTATGAGTCAATGGATCATCATAAGATCATCCTCCACCATAATATAAGGTAAATGAAATTTAAATAAAATTACCATTATAGAAATGTAAGAAAGCATGAATATATAGGCTTTATATCCGATTCAGCAAATTTTTTTATTTTATTCATCATTCTACGTTTTTTATGAACCAAAAATTATCCTTCACCAATTTATCCATTTTCCAATTTCAGTCCTTAATAATCAGATAAACCATTTTCTAACGATTTTACATCTAACTCCTTTAGAATTATTATCAACTTTTCAATTCTAAGTTTCCCTAATATTGTCCTATTTGAAAAACTTTTGGTTAAACTTTAACAATTATGGGATTTTGTGAGTTCAAATAGGTATCTCATTATTCAATCCATTATCCCAATTGAAATCCATTTCGTAGAATAATTTTCTCAAATGAAACACTTAGTATATTCTCACCTTTAGTTAAAGGTAATCCATCGGCCAAATTTTCTTTCATTAATTATATCGCATTTTCTTTTTCCACTTCTAGATTCTTCCCCGCCTAATGACTGGAATTATAGTTTGCTCTGAGAAAGTTAGATATTAATGTTCCATTCAGATTCAAGATTATAGTCTTTTCGTTTATATTGTAGAATAAATAAATAAAAAATATCAATATTAATCCTCCAAGTAAGCCTGGAAATCAAATAGATAAGAGGTTAACACATAACTGTTTAGAATTCTAAATGTTTTTTTTTTAAAGCAAATTGAATCAGTAAAATTACCCACTCATTTTATAGAATTACTTCTTAATCATTCTGTTTGAGTCATCTATCATGTAATAAATAAATTTTCATATGTGGTTTGATTCAATATCCATATTTAGATGATATTAATTCTGCAATTTTATTTTTCTGACAAGATTAAGGTTGTGTTGCTGCTGATGTAAGATCAATTGATTGCAGATCTTTTGGAATATATAAATTTTTTTAAATCGTAAAATTGAATTCATTTTATGAAAAAATAATTTCTTTATTTAAGGTTGATTTTAATTAGCGAAATTAAACTAATGAATTATCAAAAAGAATTTGTAAAATGATTTGGCTTTGTATTTTTATAAGAAGTATAATTCAAATAGACACAATCTTGTGTAATCTCATATTCATGATAATCTGGTTTAATATCCATCTAGTTTGGGATAATATTTGAAACTGCTAATTGTATATATTCAAAAATAAACATAGTTATATTAGTTATATTGATTATATTGATTTAAAAGTGCTTCTATTTATTGTTTTAAGTAATGTCTCTGAAAATTGATTTTAATAGAAATAGCTTGTAGAACTATTAGATAATGTAATAAGGTGGATCAAGTTGATATTTTGCATTAGTGAGCCAAACCTAAATCTTCTAAATTTATTCAAAGCAAAATGAATTGAATTATTATCACTAATACTTAAAATATCTAATTCAATTATAATCAATCCATTACAATTGTTTATTCTTGAAAATATTAAACAACTCCCATATTCCAATTTTTTTTCCATTTTTGTATTCACCTTTGTAAATATTTTAACTGTTATCATCAAAAATATCGCTCAACTCAGTCCATTTTCCGATCTTAATTCCTTCACCTACTTCGTCATAGCATCCACCATCACTATATTATGTGATAACTTTTTAATATTTACATCTTTTATTTATTAAATTAAAAATGCCATTCTCCTGTTTTGCTGCCATTTTTATAATTACCAATACAAACTACTCTGCCTAAATCTCTCAATCCATATTTCAATTCTATCCATTTTCCAATTTTAATCGAATTTATGTCATCATATGATCCGCCCCCTCTACTTACTATTTTTACTAATTACATCAATTTATTTTTTATTCCTCTCTCATCTTTATACCAAGTATCCCATTTACCAACTTTTTTACCTTTTTTATATTCACCACTGTATGTAATTTATGAATTTTCTTTATAATCATCACTTAACTCAACCCATTTTCCTACTTTGATCAAGTATCCCTCCATTTAATCATAAACTCCACCACCACTATTAATTTTAATAATTCCATAATTACATTTTTTTATTCTTTTCAGGAATTGTTTGCCAATGATTAGTTTGCCATTTCCCAACCTTTTTACTATCTTTATATTCCCCGTTAAACATGATACATAATGAATTGCTATATTCTTCACTCAACTCAGTCCACTTTCCGATTTTAATCGACCTTTCGTCATATAATCCTCCACCCCTAAATACTATTTTTATTTTTTACATCATCTAATATTTTGAACTCCAATTATACCAATTATCCCACCTACCAACTTTTTTACCTTTATTATATTCACCGCTATACATAATTTATTACTAGTTTTTGAACTCATTACTCAATTCAACCCATCTTCCAATTTTTATTGATCCACTTTCTGACTCCTTGTAAGTTCCACCCAAACTATAGTGAGATGATGAAATCTATACATCAATTAATTGTTTTTTGAGAACAAATCTTTAATCTAAGTTTCCCATCTACCAACTTTTTAGCCATTCTTATATTCACCAGTGTAAACAACTTTTGAATTGGCTTTATAATTATCACTCGATTCAACCCAATTTTTGATTTTAATTGGTTTACCCAATTCATTCTTATAAGATCCTCCTCCTCTAAGGATTATTTTGATAATTTTACATCTTTTCATAATTTTAGAAGCCCTTCTCTGAAAATAGAATATCCCAATTACCATTTTTTATACCATTATGATATTCACCAGTAAAGATGATTTATGAAATATCATCATATTTATCTTTTATTTCAATCCATCTTCCTATTTTAGTGCCTTCACCTTTATCATCATATAATCCACCACCTCTAAATGCTATTAATTTAAAGTTACATTTTTCTTATTTCTCGATTGTCGTGCTATTGGTATTTGTAAATTAAAATATCCCACCTACCTATTTTTCTTCCAGTTTTATATTCACCATTCAGAGTAATACATGATTTGATATCAACCCATTCGCTCAACTCAATCCACTTACCATTCTTAGTGTCATTCCCATTTATATCATATAATCCGCCGCCACTTAAAATTAATAAGAATTTTTTACATTTATTTCGATGTATTATAAATATCAACAAAGAAAATATCCCAAATTCCAACTTTATTACCTTTCTTATATTCACCATGATAAGTAACTTATGAACTTTTATTGAATCCATTACTTACCTCAATCCATTTACCAGTCTTTTAAGCTTACCCATCATAGAAGCCTCCTCCACTAAATATAATATCAAAAATATTACATCTATTTATCATCATAAAAAAATTTCCATAAACCAATTTTTTAATCATTAGAGTATTCTCCAATTTTAAAAATTTCAGCTGGACATTTTTGGAATGCTAATCTTTGTTACCTGCAATAATTTTTATTCAATTCCTTCCAGAATCCTTATTTTAATCCATTCTCATAGTACCCTCCAACATTTTCAATAACTTCTCCATCCCAAGTGGCCCTCCATCTACCAGATTTTCTTTCATTTTACTCATATTAACCTTAAAAAAAAAGATATTAAATCTAATCCACATTACTCAATATATCTGAACTTTTACAACCCCCTCTTATTTGATCCCTAATTTAAATTATCATAGAATACTACATTCTTAGAATTACTCCATCTTATGAATAAATGATATATTGTTCTTTTGTATAGTTGATTTGAATTATAGTCTTCACAAATTCTTATTTAAATCTATCCCACTTGTCAACAGTTATATTTTAAGCTTCCATGTTAACCAAAGTTTCTTCAAAGCAAATTTTCTTATTAGAGTGCTAAGAATCCATCTTTAATTAATAATAGTTTATTTTTTAATTAAATACATTATTTTATTTTGATTTATATAATAAAGATAGATAAAACATCTACATTATTTTATAAACTCAAACTTCACAAATCAATCAGCCAGTACTCTAAACTATAAATAAAGTAAAATTATTAATTTAGAAAAGTAGTATCATTATATGTCTGCTGTTATTGAAAATGAAAATTTTAGAATTTAGATAAATCTGAGTCTGAGTCTTATAGTAAAGGTCAATTACATTAATGATTCTCCCCATACTGTTTTCAATGATGACTATTGTGAAAAAATAAATTAATTGGAAAAGAGCATTTTTGTACTTTTATATCTTAATTTAATTACTATGATCAATAAATTTATGATAGTTTTTATTTAGTAATTCTAGGCGCTTGAAATTTAAACACCAATCTTAAGGGTTATACTGAATTTAATTCTTTTAGATTCATATTCTTTATTTATTGTTTCATTAAACAAAATTTATTTCTTGTTATCTTTTCATTTAGAATTGGAGATTGCATTCTTGACTAATCATATTTTGATAAAGGCTTGATTCATTTTCCTCCTCATTGTTTTAATTTCAAAGACAATATAAAATAGACATATACCCAAACTAGGTTCTATATTTATCCTTTCCTATTTTAGGTTTAATTCTATACTATTTTTCTTCAAATTCTGTTAAGTTGTAGGTTCAAACTCTAATTTTTTGTTTCGTTTCTTAAAAAGCCATTGGTAGTCTTATGCTCTCGTTTTCTTGTAATCCAAAATACCTCCAATTTCTAAAAACCCCTTTAATTCAAATAGAATCAAATTATTGATGTTTAATTAGGGATAAATAATTTAACAGTATCTACTGAGAAACTTATCTCTGCCACTTTTGGAGTTGTTGGCTCACCTACGACATCCATAAATG